AGACTCATTTGCATTGTCATACTGTCCAGCTGGGACATCAACTCGAATTGGAGCATTTACAGTTGGAATATGCGATTTAGTAACCCGTGGAAGGTCAGTAAATGCATCTGGCAATTGATTTTCAACATTCTGGATATAAATGATCTTTTGAACTTCTTGTCACATTGATTTGTACGAGGATCCAAATGAGATAGAGATAATATGTTACAATATATCTCTTTTTCCGATTATTTATTTTCTCCCCCTAATGTTGGGAAAACTGATTCTTCAAAATGACAATCAGCAAATCTGGCTGTAAACAAATCTCCTGTCATAGGCTCCAGATATTTAATAATCGAAGGAGATTCATAACCAACATATGCTCCCTACCTTCTTTGGAACCCATTTTTGTGTATCATGGTGGAGCAATTGGAACATATACCGCACATTCAAAAATTCTTAGATGGGAAATATTTGGCTCCTGACCAAAAGCCAACTGTAATGGGGAGACTTCATGATAATTGGTTGGCCTTATGCGCACAAATCTGCTGCATGCAAAATAGCATGTCCCCACACTGAAAGGGGAAGTTTTGTCCTCATTAGCAATAGTCTAGCTATTAATTGAAGGCGTTTAATCAATGATTCTGCTAGACCATTTTGAGTATGAACATGAGCAACTGTATGCTCAACTTTTATTCCAGTGGCCATACAATAATCAGTAAAGGCCTGAGATGTAAATTCACCAGCATTATTATGACGAATTGTCTTAATTGCATAATCTGGGAATTGTGCTCTTAACCTTATTATTTGGGCCAACAATCTGGCAAATGTCATATTATGAGTTGACAATAAGCACACATGTGACCATCTTATAGATGCGTTTATCAATACCATAAAATACTTGAATGGTCCATATGGAGGGTGTATAGGCCCACATATATCACCATGTATACGTTCTAAAAATGCAGGGGGTTCAATCCCAGCTTTAGCTGCTAATGGTTTAATAACCAATTTTCCTTGAGAACAAGCACCACAAGAGAATTCCTTAAATTGAAGAATCTGTTTGTTCTTCAATGTGTGCCCATTTGAATTCTCTATTATTCTGCGCATCATGTTAGAACCAGGATGGCTCAACCGGTCATGCCAAATGATAGAATCATTAGAAGTTGTAAACATTTTTGTTTAATATGGCATGTGAATCAACCACACCAATATTTGTATGGTACAACCCAGAAGAAAATGCGGGTAATTTTTTTTGTGCATATTTTTTCCCCGCTTTTATTGTAGTAATATAAATGTACTCAACATTTTCTTCGTTTGAGGTCTCAACATGGTAGCCATTTTGGCGAATAGCTTTGAAACTCAACAAGTTTCTTTGAGACTTACTATAATATAATGCATTATTAATAGTTAATATCATTCCTTCAGGTAGTAATACGCTCTTCCAGAGCCCTCAATTAACTTGTACTACTAGATATTGTAGTAACATAGGCCATTTTCATAACCCAAATAAGAGGGGGGGAAATTTCTCTTAATATTGTGTGAGTTATAGCACTATCCAAAAGGCATAAATCTTCATTACTTATCTTGGATCCAATTGAAGACTGGGAATATTATTTTCTTCATAAAAAAAAAGTACACCATGAGAAATACGGAAAAACTAACAACACTAACAACAACATAAGACAACTTAAGTACTACTTGAAAATAAAAATAACTTTAGAACGAGACAAAAAAATACTAAAAATAAAAATAACAACATAATTGCATTCCCCAGTAAAATGATCAAACTTTAGTTTTGATCTCCAAAGAAGTCTCCAACTTCCAAATGAGTAAGATCATCGAAGCCTTCAAAATCATCATCATTCAAAGCAAGATTTGCATCGACATTGTCATCATTTTTGTTTGAAGGCCCTGCCTCAAAATTACTTTTAAAGGTCAAGTGAGACTCCACCGAGGCATTAGCAGAAGATGCTCCAACTATTTGCCTTTCTTTTGATGGAGTTTTGATAAAGCCTGACAAGATGCTCAGGTGCACGACATTCAATTTTTCAATGAACTTTCATGCCACAACGGTGGCAGTTACCGTTTTTGCCTCTTGAAGTATTATTTTGAGAACCCATATTGTTCTCTCGTTTGTCATGACCATCACGATGACGATTATTATATCATCTCTTGCAATTGCCATGCCCACGTACATTCATATGGCCATGATAATTATTCTGTCTTTTTCTAGACTTACCACGTCTCGCTACTCTATTCGCTTCAGGAAACGAAGCTGACCCTGTAGGACGGGCTTCATGATTTTTCAGCAAAAGGATATTATGTTGCTCAGCTACCAGAAGGCATGAGATCAATTCAGAATACTTTTTAAAACCCCTTTCACGATATTGTTGTTGTAATACCATATTTGAGGCATAAAAAGTCGTAAGAGTCTTTTCCAACAAATCCTCATCATTCATAACATCCCCACATAATTTTAATTGGAAAGTTATTCGAAATACAACAGAGTTATACTTACTTATAGTCTTAAAATCTTGCAACTGTAAGTGCATCCACTCATATCGAGCCCTTGACAATATTGTAGCCTTAAGGTGATCATACATTTCCATCAGGCCAGTCCACAATTCAAGTGGATCTTTCACTGTCAAATATTCAACCTTCAAAAATTCATCCAAATGATGACGAAGGAAAATCATGGCCTTCGCTTTGTCTTAGCTTGATGCCTCATTACCCTGATAATGGTGTCACCAAGGCCTTTAGCGGCTAAGTGAATCTCAGCATCGAGAACCCATGATAGGTAATTCTTTCCGGAAATGCCAAGTGCCACAAACTCAAGCTTTGACAAATTCGACATAGTAAAAACTATCAAAGAAGATAAATAATTAGAAATCATTAGGATAATAACGAAAATTGACATAATATCAAATTTATGATCTTTATACACTAAAGTGGTAATTCCATTGAAAAGAATACTGTTTTTCTTCTTCAAATAATTAGTATATCTTTGATGTTAACTAGAACAAAAATGTCTTCTAATTTTAACACAATTTCAAATGTCGAACAACATAAAACAAGTATTCTTCTCTCAATTAATTCTATTAATATGAAAATTAGCAAATTTTACATAACAATCATGCAAATAACATAAAATAAAGAAATATAGAATTCTTTATTTTTACACATATCTAGAGATGTGTAAAGACACTAATCATGAAATCAAAATATACAACAAAGAAAACAAAATGAACAAATATACCTAAACAACGAAAAGAGCTCAACTTCGTGATGATAACGTATTATGAAATGCAGCTCAAAGTAACAATATAAAACAAGAAGATAAGTAGAATAAGAGAAGAAGAGATAACTTTCTTATTCATCAAGTGTTCAAGTGTATCCCATATCATATTCCATGCATCTACTTATGCTATTACATAGAAGGTTACAAAAGGATTGTCTTAAGCATGACATTAATAATTGAGATCATGGGGGAAGATCATGGGGAGGGGTTATGGAGGTCTGGGGGTTACAATCATAATAGTGATGAGTAGTGGGAGGTTATTTACATCATGGTAAAAGTAGTGGGAGTAGTGGACATCCACAATTACAATAGGTTTTACAACAAAATCAAACTAATGAAAAAATTGAGAAAATCCTATCACACTAAGAGCCCGTTTGGATTAGCTGATTGTAAATAGCTAATAAGCTTGAAGTGCTGGAAAATATTTTTAAGTTCTGAAACTAATTTTTAAATAAGCATTTACGTGTTTGGATAGACGTGCTGAAACTGATCATAAGCAGTTGATGTGTGGTAGAAAAGTGTTGATAAGCTATTCTTTTATTAAATGACTAAAATACCCTTAGAACTTTACAGAAGATTATAAATTAAAAATTCTTTGTAAAGAAAAGGATGAATAACGAATATAGTATGAAGAGAAAGTTAGAGTTTATTTTGGGAAAAATATTTTGTGAATTCAAATATATTATTAAAGATAAACTAGTAAAAGCCTTGGTCAAACTAAAAGTGTTTATAAGCTGAAAAGCTATAAGTTGAGGGTGACCAACTTATGACTTATTACTGATTTTAGCTTATAAACACTTTGGGTATTTAACAAACGCGTAGATAAGCCAAAAGGTGCTTATAAGCCAGTTTGACCAGCTTATAAATTTAGCCAAACACCCTCTAAGATCTTGAGCTTTTATATAGAAGGAAAAAAAATAGAATAGCTTATATGTTCAAAGTGCAAGAAAATTATTAGTAGTAAGTTGTGCTCATTTCCTATTTAAGAGTTTTGGAGGATATATATTTCAATAATATTTATTCTCCTTTTCAATAGAAGTGTTTGACAAAAATATCATTCCCTTTCTCACATTTCACGACATTCTTATTCACTTTCTTATTTTCATAAGATTAAATATATAAGAACTTTATGTTAGTTATTCTATTTTAATATACGTAGATTGAGATATGTCTCTTTTTCAAATCTAAACACTTAGCCACTGAAACTAATATTTATGTAGAATTTTCATTAAAAAAAATACTATAAGTAATTGATTTTAAATACAAAAACTGGATGTGTAGCTAAATCATATTATAGGGATATGTAGTATAATCTACCCCTTATACTAGTGATTTTTTGATCTCAAATTAATAAATTTTCTCTTACAAAACTGAATGCCCTTGGTAAGGCCAAAACTCGGCCAGTTTGGAAAAGACTCAAAATTAGTGTAAGTGTTTATTTTCATGATTGCACATTTAATCTCAAGTAAAGCTCCGATTGTTATATTCCTCTCTGCAGAGTTGCAATGTGACAATAAAATTTTTTTGGTTAATTCAACATTAATAACCATTTTCCTCTTTAGACACCAAAAACCAGCCAAATCATTTTCTTTATTAGTACTCCAAGAATCTTGACAAGGGCCATGGAAGGCGGATTCCTAAGTATAAAATAATTTGTTAGCTGTGAAGAATTTAATGCAAGGTTGACGAAACTAGAAATAAGTACCAAAAACAATGAAGCTAACGCGAAACATGGCTCCATTTCTGAATTAAAGTATTCACCGAGCATATATCCGTAACTAGTTATAGTATAGATTAACTTCCAATCTCGAGACTGGTTTGCTCCTAAAAGCCAGAGAAATAGTCTTATGTTGCTTCTCTTTGCCAGTTAAAAAGATTCATATCGAGCAAAACTCATGAAAATGGAGCATCATCTGAAGTTGTGCACTCGGAGCAAGAACAAATTTTTAACCACAAAATTCATCAGCATCTTCTTTTTCACCTTGTTTCTTTTTGTCATCCTTTTCCATATCCAGTATTCATATCCTTTTGATTTCTTTTTATCAGCAAGGTCTCAAAGATGTGCTTTTCGTTCCCAAGAGAATTACTCTGATGTCAAGGAAACCATGACGGCAAAGCTCAAAGACTCTGTCACTTTCCTTCCCCTTCAGGACCTTAGATTTAGAGAAACAGCCACAACTGGCCACACATGGTTTATGAGCTCTTTGAACGATACACACGAGGAAAATGAAGCAGAACACTTGTATTTCCCTTCCAAAGCATCCAAAGGACGGCTTCTTTGCTTTAAGGGACGGGATACTAAGGATGGCACAAAGAATTCATATGCTTTGGCATGGCGAGAAAGTCTTCCCGACTCTGCTATTCTATTGGAAGGCTTAACATTCGTATCCTACACATATTACGACCACCATAATCTATGGCATGGATTATCTGCAGTGGCTCCTTTTGTGAGATGGTCAATGAAAAATAAGTGTTTGAAGCCAGCAAGATGGGTGTTATTCCACTGGGGAGAACTGAGATTAAGAATGGGGTCATGGGTTCAACAACTTATGCAAGCTAATTTCGGTAAAGTTAAGGTGGAAGGATTTGATAGAGATGTACCTTACTGTTTTGAGAAAGCCGTTGTCATGAGGCATGAGACAAGTCAAATGGGGCAGGAGAATAAGCTGAAGGTATTCGACTTGTTGCGCTGCAAGGCTAGGAGTTACTGTGGCATTAATCCTGCAGGCAAGGGTAGAGAGATTAATGAAAATGGGTTTTCAATTATAAGACTTACTCTGCTAATGAGAAGAGGTTCACGCTCGTTCAAGAATGCACCTGCTGTAACTGACATATTTGCAAAGGAATGTGCAAGAGTGAAAGGCTGCATTCTGCAAGTAGTTCAGTCAGACGATCTATCTTTCTGCGACCAGGTACACATTTTTCCCTTGCTTCCGTCAGTATTCAGTAATTACCCCACAAAATATCAATGGAGCAATAGTAATTCACAGTGAAATATACAACTAAAGCTTACCAAGCAACTAATACCAACGAGCTATTCACATTACCCTACTTGCAGTAGTTCCAGGCAATCACTGAAATTAACACAAATGTCCTTTATCAGGTGAAAGTGCTCACCAACACCGATATTGTTGCGTCTCCATGTGGAGCACAGTTAACGAATATGCTCTTCATGGACCGCGAGAGCAGCGTGATGGAATTCTATCCAAAAGGATGGTTAGAGTATGCTGGCTCAGGCCAATATGCTTACCACTGGATGGCAAATCAATCAGGGATGAAACATCAGGGTGCATGGTGGGATCCAATGGGAAAGGAGTGTCCATCCCCCAAAGATCGTCTGCAGTGCTTTCTTTTTCATAAAGATGGCATGGTCGGACACAACGAGACCTATTTTACAGAATGGGTTAGAAGAGTCATCGATCATGTTAGGCTAATCAAGCTGGAGCAAGCTTCTGCAAATCAAGCAAACGAGCAACAATATGATTCAAAAGCATGTATATGCTAGCCTACTGTTGAAGTATCAACAGCACCATTAACAGTAGACTTTGTAAGAGTTAGAATCAAATGTGCAAACTGATTTGCTAGAAATCATTATTTGCAAACAAGCTCCTGTTTTAACAAATGAAATATCGAGCATCCTCCATTGCAAAATAATCACTTTTTTCCTAGGTAAGCACACAGTAATCATTGTCATATAGCAAGTATCACAAAGAAAATAAAAGTGAAAAAGAAAAAGCAACCCTCAGTGATTCTACAAATTAGGAAAGTTTACGTAAGACTAATATTCAGAGTTCTACAGTTGCAACTTTGCTTCCCCCGATCACTAAAAATCAACCACTGCACTCTGCTTAGCTTTTGTATGGTGCATTTTGTGTGTTTCTCTCATTTTTATCAAAACGTACACCAGGAAATAGCAAAACAGCACAGAAAGATAGGATTGCTCTTATCTTCGTGAAAATTTGGGCAACAAGTAGATCACAAAAAAGCAATATATTGGAAAACGTACCACATGCATCATATGGTTTGATCCTTCCAGGATGATGCTCCTGCTCAACTGTCTCGTGTTGTTCTTCACCCCTGCTTGAGCTTTGATCTATGTAATTTGCTGTGACATTAGGAAAGTATAAATGCTTAAGGAAATAGGAAAGTCATGTAACTTACTAGTAAGAATGCTTCAATATTCAATAAAATAAGCCTACATCATGAGAATTTCATATAGACCGACCAATCAACATGTTTATAAACTTTGCCACACTAACTCTAGAAAAGCTTACTCGTTCTAATGCTTGAAGCAATCTAAATTTCTGGAGGTTCACTAGAAGGGATAACTCTTAGAAGTACATCATTCGAATTTAAATCGGTTGAATATATACAGTTTGTTGACCAATATCCCCACACACTTCAACAACATAGGAAAAGAAAAAAAAATGCAATCAAGTTTAGGCTTATAATAGTCAGTTGATGGAGACATGGAGACATGGAGATCTAAACAAGGATGTATCATTCAACGCACTAGAGAAGCCATAAGAAAAGCATAGAGCAACAAAGGCATTCAGGCAAGTTGGCAGGGTAGTACCTAAGGAAGGCAAAAGATTTACATTAACAATTGCAATTAAAGAGGGGGAGAGAGCAAAAGAAAAAAGAGGGGAGCGAGGAACTAAATGCAGGTTAGCAATTGCAAATTTTTTCCTCATCAATAAGATTAAATATATTTCTTTTCCCCTTTCTCCTAAGTTCTTGGCTGGTATTAGATTGTTATCCAGCAGTAGGAAAATAAACACCAAAAAAGCTATAGCATAAACGCCAAAAAGCACTAAATTCTTAGATCACGTTAGATTGTTATCCAGCATTAAGAGAATAAAAAACAAAAAAGCTCAATCAAATACAGTAGTTCTTTTTTCCCTTTCTCCTGAGTTCATGGCTCATGTTAGATTGTTATCCAGCATTAGGAAAATAAACACCAAAATAGCTCTGAGATTAAGAATGGGATCGTGGATCCAATAACATATGCAAGCAAATTTTGGTGAAGTCAAGGTGGAAGGATTTGATAGAGGAGATGTACCTTACTGTTTTGAGAAAGCCATTGTCACGAGGCATGATCTCGGCCAAATGAAGCAAGACAGTATGCTAAAGGTGTTTGACCTGATGTGCGGCAAGGCTAGGAATTACAGTGGCCTTAATCCTGCAGGCAAAAATTGAGAGATGAATGAAAGAGGATTTTCAATTATAAGACTTACACTGCTGATAGAGAAGAGGTTCCTACTCGTTCAAGAATACGACTGCTGTGACTGATATATTTGCAGAGGAATGTGCAAGGGTAGAAGGATGCGCTCTCAGTGTAGTTCAGTCAGAAGATTTATCTTTCGGCGACCAGGTAAATATGCTCCCCTTTCTATCGTCAGTACTCTGTAATTGCTCTAGATGAAGCAATAGTACTTTACAGAATAAAATATACAACTAAAGCTTACCAAGAAACTTTCATCTAAGATTCACATTTCCCTGCTTAGAAACTTCAGTAGCATGCAGGTAATCACTAAAATAATGTCAATATCCTTTATCAGGTGAAAGTGCTGACAACACTAACATTGTGGTGTCTCCACATGAAGCACAATTAACTAATATGCTCTTCATGGACCATGAAAGCAATGTAATGGAATTCTTCCTGAAGGGTTGGTTAGAGAATGCTGGCGCAGGTTAATATGCGAATCACTGGATGACGAATCAATCAACCTCAAGGTGCATGGTGGAATCCAATAGGGGAGGAGTGTCCATCCCCACAAGATCATCTGTAATGGTTTCATTTTCATAAAGATGGCATGGTTGGACACAACGAAACCTATTTTGCAGAATAAGCTAGAAGAGTCCTTGATCAAGTTAGGCTAAGCAAGGTGGAGCAAGCCTCTGCTCATCAAGCAAACAAGCAACAAAACGATTCAAAAGCATGCGTATGCTAGCCTTCTGTTAAAGTATTGAATAGCACAAAGGGTAGACATTATAAGAGTTAAAAATCAAATGAATACACTATTTTACCGGACATCATCATCTGCAAAACAGGCTCTGTTGTTAAAACAAATGAACTATAAAGCATCCTCCATTGACAATAATCAACTTTTTTCTAGGATAAGCACACAATGATCATTGCCATATAGCAAGTATTACAAAGAAAAATAAAAGTCAAAACGAAAAACTAACAACAATCCTCGGTGCTTCTAAAGATTAGAAAACTTTACATAAGATTAATATATGGAATTTCTACAGTTGTACCCTTGCTGCCAGCAATCACTAAAAATCAGACCACTGCTTAGCATTTGTATGATGCCTTGAATAAATTGTGTGTTTCTCTCATCTTCATCAACACTTGCACTAGGAAACAAGAAAATAGCGCAAAAGATTGCCCTTATCTCCGTGAAAATTTGGACAGCAATTATATCACAACAACAACAACAACGACCCAGTAAAATCCCACCAGTGGGGTCTGGGGAGGGTAGAGTGTACGGAGACCTTACCCCTACCCCGGAGAGGGTAGAGAGGCTGTTTCCGGGAGCTCATAGACACTAGATCCGTAACAACAAAAACCCAAAATAATATCAGCAACGTGAGAGATAACAAATAAATGAAAAAGCAGTAAGACAAATATTATGCAAAAGTGCGAAACATAACATAGCTAGCAGTGCTAGACAAAACACTATCATACTCGCCGGAACAAACAGGGAAACAGGGACAAAGAGGAAAACCGCTCGACTACCACTTAACCTACAACCCTAATGCTCGACCTCAACACATTCCTATCAAGAGCCATGTCCTTGGAAATCTGGAGTCGCGCCATGTCCTGTCTGATCACCTCGCCCAATACTTCTTAGGCTGCCCTCTACCTCTTCTCATACCTGCCAAAGCCAACCGCTCACACCTCCTAACCGGGGCATCTAGGCTTCTCCTCTGCACGTGTCCGAACCATCTAGCCGCGCCTCCCGCATCTTGTCGTCCACCGGAGCCACGCCCACCCTCTCCCGGATATGTTCATTCCTAATCTTATCCAGCCTAGTGTGCCCACACATCCATCTCAACATCCTCATTTCTGCTACTTTCATCTTCTGGATATGTGAATTCTTGACTGGCCAACACTCCGCCCCATAAAACATGGCCGGTCTAACCACCGGTCTATAGAACTTCCCTTTGAGTTTCGGCGGCACGTTCTTGTCTTACAAGACTCCAGACGCTAACCTCCATTTCATCCACCCCGTTCCAATACGGTGCGTAACATCCCCGTCGATCTCCTCATCTCCCTAGATAATTGACCCTAAGTACTTAAAACTTTCTCTCTTGAGGATGACCTGAGAGTCAGGCCTGACTTCCACATCCGCGTCCCCCGCCACGTGGCTGAACTTACATTCCACATATTCTGTCTTAGTCCTACTCAACTTGAAACCTTTAGACTCCAGGGCCTGCCTCCATACAGTCTCCCATCAACGCCGCCTCGCGTCTCATCAATCAGAACTATATCATCGGCGAACAACATACACCATGGCACCTCACCTTGTATATGGTGTGTCATATTGTTCTTTACCCCTACTTGAGCCTTGATCAATGTCATTTGCTGTGATAATGGGAGAAGTGTAACTTTTTAAGAAAATGGAAAGGTTATGTAACTTGCAAGAATGATTCCATAATCAATAAAAGAAGCATACATAATGAGAATCTCAGATAGACTGACCAGTCAACATATTCATAAACGATGCCACAGTAACACTGTAAAACTTCTAATGGCTTGCAGCAATCTAAAGTTGCAGCGGTTTACTAGACGGTATAACTCTGAGAAATACATCATTCAGAATTACAATCAGTTGAATTTATACAGTTTGCAGTCCAATATCCCAGCACATATTACCCTCAAGAACAAAGAAAAAAAGAGAAAAATGGAATCAAGTTTGGGCTTATCATTAGATCTAACAAAGATGTGTCTTTCAAAGTAGTAGAAAACCTATAAGAAAAGCATAGAGCAACAAAAGTCATTCAGGCAGGTTGGCATGGAGTACCTAAGGCAAACGAAGGCTATGAGTACACTGTCATTTTCAAAAATATTTAAAGTAATAACAATTACAATTCCTAGCAATTATAGAAGGAGAGAAAGAGAGTTAGATTGTTATCCAGCCTTCGGAACATAAACACCAAACAAGCTCCAATATACAAAAACTTAATTGTTAAGGTATATAAATATATGGGTAAGTGACTAAAAAGGACTTAAAGAATATCAACTATGCTCGGAAGAGAAGGAGAACGAGTTCATGGCATACCAGTTGGTTAATAAAATCATTCTGAAACTTTGCTTCAGACTCAATTTCTTGTGCTACCTGCAGCATAAAAAGTACTAGCAAAGGGTAAGTAGTAATAAAAAACTGAAACCCTGACAAAGATGAGATAACAAGTACGGCCAACAAATGAGATATTGGGAAAAGATGACCTATACGGAACATATAGTATAAAAATATTCCGGGACTCCTACAACAGGACTTGCACCCAAGCAATGTTCAATTAGAAATACAAAATCTTAGTGTTGTTTGAAAGTTCGGTCTAAGACATTTCAACTAACACATCTATGTAGCAGATGCATACGGAGGTCAACAACCAGTGCCAGTGCTAGATACCAAAAAAGAGGAGAGTAGGAGGTAGAGAGATGATGTCTTTGTTCTACTGCCGAAATATGTGATTGACAATCAGATGATTAATTTTCTTACCTTCTTCAAATAAGATCAAGTCAAGAAGTGATCGTGCATTCGTTCGGAATACCTAAATATCGGGGCAGCAACAGTTAGGCACACATTGGATCCAACTTAAACTGGACACAGAGAAGGATCAAGGCACTAGTCATATTTTTTGGTACCATTTGCAGCTTTTCGATATTAGTGTGGTTCCAGGCATCAATGTACTCATTAGATAGCTATGAGATCAAAAAGACTAGATTGGCAGTCGACTATGAATCAAAGCAGAGGTGGAAGATATAACCTCAGTGCTGGGCCCAAATTCAGAAATCGATATTAATGGGCCAAGTTGATTTAGACCAGAAAAGGAGGGATTAATGCTTAAGATTCATGGTTTCATCTTATGGAGCCACAGACAGGATATAGAATGATAACCACTCTTTGTGCCAGTCGTGAATGAACTATATGGATCTCTCTTTGAGCCAGTCGTGAATGAACTATATGGATAACATGACACTGATCCACCAATTTTCAGATTTCACTAGGACGGATTTACAACCTAGATATAAGCGGTAATGTCTCTTTAGCATCTACCTCAAGGACCAGTTGAAGTATGTCAGCATGATAGAACATCAATATAGGCCCATACCAAAAATGGAGGTAAACATAACTAACCACTGAAACAAGGAGTCATGGGCTTCAAAGCCGTTTAAATTTTATTGTGAAACACAACCTTTCTTCAAGATCGGTGACTAGTACTAAGTTAGTACTTTCTCCACAGTCCATACACAGTCAAACTTCATGTGTTTTTAATCTAACAACTCATTCCATCCAACAAGAATATCCTACACAATGTGCTATTATGCAAAGTATATCTCGCGGGGGGGGGGGGGGACCAGAATATCTTTACCAATGAAAATGTAAAGCCAAAGAGTGAATTAAAATCTTTTTCATAATACTGGTGTTTGGAACAACTTGTGTGCACCTCAAACTATTCAATCGACTACCTGCTACCTCCAAACGGTACAAGTATCTGGTGACTCTATCCACCAAGGCTTAGGCACATGAGAATAAATCACCAAAAGTTTTTTGTTTCTGATGGATTAGAACCTGGCCTACAATATTGCATCCACTTTATTTACCACTAAGCGACAACCTTGGATTAATTAACATTTTTCTTTATCCAGTACGGTACGACAAAATAAAGGTAAAACATTATATCGACGTTTCCATTGCCAAGGTGATATCTTAAATTAAAGGATAGAGAGTAACATTCTTGAATACAACCTTGTTTGGTTTAGTTGAATGCCGAAATAGTACTGTCATTATACTTCCGTTTGTTCATGGGAGAGACTTCAACTATCTTCAAGAAGCGTCTCTATGCCTAACAAGTTTCAAAGTTGTTTTCTAAGAAATATTGTTATCAGTTTCCCAATGCAGCACATCACCTTATTTAAAATGGATCCATGACATAACATCACCAAATTTGACATGTACATCTTAAAGACGCCACCGGTTCTGAAAAAAGATATTCTCCAAGAAAAATACAAAACAAAAATTCAAAGCCAAAGACAAGGTGATAGGAAAGCATACATTTCTGAGCTGTTTTACTTGTTTGCGGAGACCTGTAATCTCGTCATCTAGGTCCCCATGCATCGGATCAATACGCAACTGTAGTTCATCTGAACACCTACTTGCCTCGTACCCAATCCATCTCTGATCAATTAAACAAAATAAAAGAAAAACTCAATTTCTCAAAAATAAACCGAAGAAATGCAAAAAGTGTATTTCTGTTAATATTCTCCTAATTAGGTTATGCTTTTGGTAATTCTTTTGTTACAGAACACTTCTCTATCACAATTCAAATTGTACAAGCAAGTAGACCAAAATGAATTGTAATTTAAAAAGATGATAATTTATTTGTTATTTTGGTATATACCTGGATATGAGAGCTAGAAGCCATTGAAAGAAAAACTGAAGGAACCTCGAAATCCTAGATGTAAGAAAAACTTGAAAGTATCAATAAAAAGGATGATGAATTTTAACACGTTGAATAATTGTTTTGTGCTGCCAAAGATCGTTCAGTCTTTGTAATTTTTTTGAAATAAAAGTAGAATTTGTGTTCAGTTAAGGAAGGTAGGTATGAGTTAGGGTAGGGGTGGGCATTCACCGTATTCGATAACTTAAACTAAAGGTAAGAAGCATAGTACAGCGTACACATACTGAATTTCAATCATTGAAGTTTGCATAGTCAGATTCCAAGCATAGCCATAGTTTGATCCGCTAACCCAAATTCCCCGGTTAATGGCACAAATGCAACTTCTAGTAATGGAAAATGTAACTTTTATTAACAAACATATATATATATCAGAAGCCCTGATAATGGCACAAGTGCAACTTCTACTACTGATGGAATGAAGACATTGAAGGATGAACTGTGAAGACTTGAAGGATGAAGAGTGCGCATTGCGGCTGAGAAAAGTTCCGAGAAAACAAGAATGAACTGAAGGTGTGAAATCCTAAATAGTAATTTTGTTTTCCCCTTTTCTTAGAGTTCACAACTTCACCTTAGACAAAATAGTAATTTGCGTATTTCAATAATATTTAGAAATAATTATTTAATTAATTCTCCTATAATTTAGGATAGCTATTTAATTATTCTCCTATTATTAACAGTCTAGTCTAGGAAAGTTAATAAAAGTTTGCCTAATTTTTTCATATTCGTTCAACTCCCTACGTACGTTAGAGTAGTTAATAGCTTTAATATTTTGGAGACTTTTTTGTAGTTAAAAAAATTCACCCTAGCCTAAATTTTCTCCCCTATTTTGGAGTACTAAATGTGTTTATTTGGTAGTTAATACCTATTAGGTTTAGGCGATCTTTTTGGTTAAATTTTTTTGCCTTAAATCGCACACACCATTTTCTTTTTGGTTAGGAGTCTTTATTATTTCGTAAAATTCACATGTGTCCTAATCTCAATATGTAAGTATCTATATCTATATCTATATTCATATTAAAAGCACGAAGGCCCTTAGCGAAATGTCGTTCGCCTTTTTTGCCCTTTAAAAATAGATTTCACAGTAGGCAAAATAGTAATTTAATTATACTAATAATTAAGACTTTAAAATCAACTAAAATCTTGCATATTAAATAATTACCTTTTTTGAAGAAAGAATTACAAGTAAATACACATGACTTCACATCATAACAAAAAATGGCCCATATTTTTAAGTTTTACCCTACCTAGCCCATATTGTAATATTTTGAAAGCATTGATAAATTCAAAATCTGTGCTCTCGTAATCATTGCTTCTAAAAGCTATGGAGTTAAATATGTATTCTCACAACCATTGCTTTCACTCTCTCTTCTTCTCACATCTTCTACATATGCTTCAAGGAGCCGAGTATTTTCTGCTTCTCCCCTTGTGTCACCTGGTTGCAATGTAAGAAAATTGAAAAATAAAAATCTACCATTGAAGGACATTCAAAGCTTTGCTTTCGAAAATATGATTTTTTGGTTATTATTAGTTGTTTGGATTGGGTGTTGTTCCAATTGATTGCAAATATCAAAAGGAGTTCATGGTTTTAATTTGAAGTGATTTGGAGTAGATTTGAGCAAGATTTGAGTTAAATTTCAGAAAAGACGCAAGGAAGAAGACGAAGTCAGTTTTTTGTATAATTTTGTATAATCTTGTATAATAGTGTATATGAGTGTATAAACACATCTTATACACTATTATACACTTTTATACACCTTTATACAAACGTCTGTAGACGAACTTCTTCCATGATTTTCAGTTGCAATTCTTGTTCAAAACCAGTCAAAATCTCTATTAAATGACTTCAAATTTTATATACAACCTCCTAATACTATTTCTAACAAGTTTAAATAATACCCACTCCAAAATTCTCACGAAATCAAATTTGGAATTTTAACCCACATATTTAAGCTTGTTAAAAATCTAATTTTCACTACCCAAGTGGATTTGGTTTGTTGAACTAATATTGAGTCACAATTACTAATTCGAAAGTTAACTTAAAAGCTTGAGCAATCTTTTTTAAAAATTAAATAGTAATTTCGAGAACCTATTGGAGTTGAATTTTGAGTATTAGCCTATTATTTTTGGGCTATTTGATTGTAAATTGAAATATGGTCTATAAAATTGAAAAGTAAGGAGCCCAGTTGTTCTTATGTGAAATTTTCCCTTTTTTGAACTACTATGTAGGAAATTTAAATATTTTGAACTTAAACATCAACTAAAATTTTACCTTATAGAGTTATAAGATAAACATAGTAATTAAGTAATATATAAAGCCTAACCTAAAAATTTCCGAAAACCTATACTTTATTTATGGTGTGAAATATAAATAAAGAGCCGAAAGAATATTATTTATTACGTACTCATTTCACACAAAAGTTTACATAAAACTTTTGATCTAACTTATTCTTAGTTATCGTGGATTCATGGTAACGATACTCCAAAAATAAAGGAAGAAAAATTATACAGAAACTATAATAAACAAGATCAATGTCAACTTTAATATTGAGTGTATTAACAATAAAAGTATTTTCATCTGTTACTCATTATAAATGTATTATCTATTATTCCTTCTAATCTTTTAATGAATATTTTTTCATGTGGTTTTGAATACCTCTCTTATTTTTACTTATTTTACTTTAAATTCTTTGACTTTTATATTGTGTTTCTCAGCTTTATTTAATAATCTAAGCTTTATATTAATATTTATTATTTTAAAAAACTTATATGTTTGATATTAACTTTTATTTTATAACGGAAACATATTTTAATGATTTTATTATGTAATTTTAAAACAATTGTGCTAGAGATTAAAAGTTTTAAATCAACTAAATTTTGTAAATTTAATCCTTCTTTGGATTATATAAGTTCTATCTTAAATATCTTGTATAATATTAGTGGGTACTCCTTCGATTTTTCTAAACTCAAAACCCAATTTTTGAGATAATGCGGGAGAAATATATGGAAAAATTTTGAAAATATAAACATACAACTCGCTATAATTGAAAAACAAGGTAAAATACTTTTAACTTAATCGTTTGAAAAATGATGATACAATTATTTTTAAATATTTAAAACTTTTATATCAACTAAATTTTGATCATTAAATATCTATTTATTTGGATTATGGAGGAAATTCTAATATTTAAAACTTTAAATAAACTAAGATTTTACCTTAAACAGCTTAACTCATGTCCTTATTTGAATTATGTAACATAATAATATTTTTCATGTTATTTTTTCTAATATTAGAACTTCAAAATTACTAAAATTATATTTATTTATTTTTTGTATGATATTTGAAAAATACACTCAGTAATTCAAATTTTATTGATCATAGAATTAAAATTAATTAATTTTATATAATTTAATTATCTTAATAATAATAAAAAAATTATAGAGAAAGACTTTTTGTGAAATTATGTTTCATTGATTGTAAACCTTCGTTTCCATTGCTGTTATAAATTTCCAGCAATGGCGTACAGAGAGAACTTAAATCAAACCACGTGCAAAAACTACTAAAATTGGAGCAGAGAGAACCTAATCAAATCACGTACAAAAATTACTGAAATTCGGATATTAGGAAAACATAATAAAAACCCTAATTTGACCTTTCAACAGATTAGGAAGGAGAGGACAGAGAGCTTCAATTCGAGTTGTACCTTTTGTGACGAGATTCAGCGACAAGCACACTTCAAAAGTAATTGCTGAAATTCACATTACACAAATTAAAATCGCACAGATATCAAACTAAGAGGAATTAGAATCGAATATCAACTACTTTCGCAATGTCAATCCCGAAAAAAATTACTTAAATCAATGATAATTCAAATAACTGGACATTAAAGAGAGAAAGAGAACTTGCCATTTCAGAAGAGAGAAAGAATTTCTCTGAACCCTAAATCGTTAGAACCAAGGAGAGTTTTGAGAAAGATGAGCGCCTTTTTTAGGGCTTTTTTTATCAAGCTTAAAAGAAGAGACTGAAAAAAAAAAAAAGGGAAGGTCAAAATAATGAAGGAAATATTGTGATTGTTAGCGCCTTTTTTTTAACTAGCGGAGGTTCTAGACGCCGCAAATTAAATTTTAGAGCTGAGGTTAATAAGACTCCGGTAATTAGATCCAATTTGGGGGGATTCTTTAGAACCCCCGTGATAAAACCTCCACAAATAAATTGTTTTTTTGTAGTGTAGATATAACTTAGCCCATACTCTTCAACTCAACTTCAAATTCTAAAAAGTACTATCGAATGAAACTTAATAATTGCACATAAGATATACAAAGTTTAATAATATGTATATAATTTTTTTAAAGTTTTATATTATTGATATATGGTACACGCGCGAAGCGCGTACCCTGAGACTAGTACTTATTAAAACTTATATTCGAGTATAAAATAATAACTTTAAATTTTTGAGATTGATCCTATATATACCTAACTCAATAAAGGAAGAAATTGTACCCTATAAAATTTCTCAATCATCATTTAATATATTCGAATTAAACTTACTTCAAATTCTATATATTCAACTTTTCAGTTTTAGCAAGAATACATAGCTTTTGAAGATCTAAGAGCTTTCAAAAAAAAATTTAAAAGTTATTTTCAAGTTCATTTTAATAGACGGGATCCAATATTTTTCCTTTCTTGCGAGCAAAATATATGTTGTTATATTTTTTTAATCAATAAAAACATATATATATATCAGCTATTATAAAAACACGAAGCCTCAGAGCGAAATATTAATAAATCCTCTTACCCTTAAAAACAAATTTCACATAGGATAACATTGACATTTAATTATTTTTCCTAAAAATTAAAATTTTGAAATCAATTATAATATTATGATAAAATTATTAACTTAATTGTCTATTTTTATTGATTACTACATAACGAATTAGGGGCGAATCCAGAGTACAAAGATCGGGTTCACCGGAACCCAGTAACTTTTATTTATACCTTGTATATGTACTAAGAAATTCATTAAATATCGATAAATATCACATTGTGAACCCATAAACTATTGTATATTAAGTTGAGATTATTGTAGGAACCCATTAACTTTAAATCCTGAATCCGCCTATGTAACGAATCATAATATACATGGATATTAAGACAAAAGCAATATTCGTAAGTTATTCTAATTTCAAATTTGTAATAAATTTTGTTGTATACGTTAACTTAATTTGTTACTTAAATAAATATTATTAGAAAAGGTCATGAATAAATGAATAAAACTCTTTTTATGTGTGTCAATTTCATTATCAATATTTATCATTTTCAAGAACTCAAACTTTTACTTAATATTATTTTTGTGACTAAAACCATGTTTGAATGTTATTTATATATTTTTTTAAAAATAATTCTCATCGATATAGGTTACACGCGCAACGTGCGTACCCTGAGACTAGTATATTTATATACTTAAGGGTGAGGTCAAAATTTTATAAATTCTTACTGGGTTATTGGTTAACCCATTAATAATAGAGATTTTTA